CCTTGTTCTAACCTGGGCCACTAGATCTTATTACTTAAAGATCTCACTTCAATGCCACTTAAAATTTCCATTGGCTGTTTATTTAACCAGGTTGGAGATGACAAATTTAGCAGCCTCATAATACAAAGTAAAAACAATCTCAATGCTGTTGTTTTGTAGTGCAAGCGCCAGGGAATCATATGTTACAGTGGGAATGTCTCTGCTTCTCTTATAGTTGTCTTTTATGGGACTCAATGGACTAGAAGACGAGCAGAACTGGGGCATGGTTGACTACTCCCTGCCCCAGAACGCCTGGCACACATTGGCCGGGAGAGCGGAGTGCTGTTTCAAGACCGCACCCTCATTCCACTACATGTAAGTGCCTCAACATATTATGTACGACCACTTTATGATGAAGGGAAAATATTGATGTCACAGTATATAACACCATTTAACCAGCCACTATGTTTTCGGGGTTGTGACGTTATATGAAAATATCGAAATTTGTACACTGCACCGGTTGACGGAGACATTCAACTGCAGTGTGGTCATTTTAGTCTTTTGTTAAACAATTTTTCTTGTTTCTTTCATTAGGAGGGGCTCATTCCATGCAAAACTGCCTCCTCCAAAGCAAAAGATATTGCAGCAAACTAAAGCTTCTACCAAAGATTCCAAAAAGATAATGCCCACTCAGGTAGCTAAACTCACGCTTCCTTTACCTGCATTCATGTAACTGTGCTTTTACAAACAGATAAAGATACACTCACTTCTTTCTTGCGTCTGCACGATCATGTTTTCTGACAGCTGGAGAAAATAGAAGAGTCCCATCAAGAGACGACAGAGAAAGCAGTGGAAAGGATCCTAGGATACCTGAAGAGTTATTACCAAGACAATCGTGAGTTTAAAGTGGACCAACATTTCATCTTGGTGTAATTATTATTAACACACTTTTTTTTTTTCAGCAAAAACACCGATACCGTACTACGAGTTTGTCACTGACCCCGACTCCTTTTCCCAGACAGTAGAGAAAACTTTCTACACATCTTTTCTGATCAGGGTGAGCTGCCTGTGTTAAAGTCTGTTTTTAACTGAGCTCGTCTGCCCTCTAGTGACAGCACTGTCTGTGTGTTTCAGGACGGTTTGGCACGGATATATCTGCATGACGAAATGCCTTGTATCGGTGAGAGGATGTGACTTTTATTTGTATTCCGGCTGGGGAATAGGAAACAGGAACATCTCAAGGGAATTCAAGGGAATAGGAAAGAAAATGTCTCCAGCTACATTGTGTGTTTTTGTGTTTCAGCACCTGTGGAGGAGGGGGAGGGGAAGGCAGAAGCCGGAGGATCAAGCAGCTATAACCAGTGCATTATCTCCATGAATCCAAAGATGTGGAGGGTTAGACTTAATTTATGAACATTAAAATACCTAGTTCACATATTATTTTAAATCATTGGTCATCATTTGTATTATTATATTATACTGCTTGTTCTTCCACAGGAGCTCATCAATGTCTTCGACATCAAACACGCAATGATTCAGCCTCCTAACGCAACACACAGAATAAGTGAAGGACCATGCCACTTGTTCTTACCTGAAACCAAGTCTTAGGTGTGTCCCTGTTCTTGTTCTGTTTTAATTGTCTACATTACTGAGATGGCCACATTTCTCTTATCTTCTTTTGTTGCTTTAGCAAATAAATGTTTTTTTTAAGTCAGGCTTCATTTTTTTAAAGACACATTCCTAGACATTCTTCTCAGAAATGTTGTTCACATTTTGAGATCATAATATTGCAACTGTAGGTTTTGGTTTGATATATGTTGTACTATTTTTAGAAGTTTGAATAATAAAAGACAAAGAAGAGAAAGCGCGTACTGTTTTCATTGTGATGTGGAAGTACCAGGTCCCAAACATCATTGACAATAACATAATACACTTTACTGTTTATATCTCTGATACGAAGGTCCTTACATACAGTTCTGTATGGTCAGTAGAAAAAGAGTGAATGATATCATTGGAATAGTTGTTAGTTCAAACTGCATCTGTGTGTGTTGAGTCCATGACTCACTTCCAGTATTTTGTTAGCACTATGCAGTTTGGCTAATAATGTGTATATTGTATTGTGTTAACTCTTGAATTCAATGACTTAAGATAATTTTCAACCAGTCCAACAATTAATTAGCACTTTTTAGGTAATAGAACAAATATTTAGTTGGTTGGAATTAAAGGCAAAAGGCTGGGAGAGATAGACGGCATACTCAAGTGGTGGAGAAAGCTGACGTCAGCTGGGAAAAGGAGCTGTGAAGCGCAGGGAACTGGGGGGTGAGGAAAGGAGGAGCTGTGTATAAAAGCGTGAGAGTGGGATGCTGAGTGAAGTGGAGGGAGATGGGAGGCAGGTTGACACATCCTTAAGTGTGCTAGATTCATTTGGACAAAAGAAGAAACCTGTAAAGCAAACTAGGAGAAGGATGTTTACACTGCGAGTGTGCTGGGATGTCTGTCAGAGACCAAGCCGAATCAAATCACTGTTATTTATAGGGATGATAAGCCTTGTCTTGTCTGCAGCTGAGGTCTGTGATGATGGCAGGTAACTTGTAGATGTTGCTCCTGTTTGCATGGTTACTTTGTGAATCTTCACTACAGCAGGTTTGCGTTCGCAGGAGTGTTTCAACTGCTGCTTGTACATCTCAGTCACTGCAGAAGCCGGAGAGACTCGGCGTTCCCATAGATAAAGATGAGATGGTACATTGATGTTAATAATTTGAAGCTACAGGGTCGTGACTTGAATTTAAAATGCAGACGTGTGAGTTTGCACAAGGTTTTAGCACATAAAATGAGTTTGGGGTGATGCAGTAACGATAGGCTGCAGTTTAATGGGTTTTCAGAGCCTTGTACAATCTCTGCAATCACCGTAGTGTATAATGTATTACCAGGGGAAATATATAGCAGCTTAAAACCTTACAATCCTGGCAAAACTAAAAGAGCTCCAGGACAGGAGAACAGAACCGGTGGGGCAGCACAGTGGATTTGTTTTTTCTCCAAACAAAAATGTACTGGTACCATAAACAAGGAGAGCGTGAAATCCAGCACTAATCTGCTGCAGAACAAAATCTGACACATGTGATGTTTCCTGCCTCCTGGTATGAAACAGTGGGAGAGCAGATGTGTGCGTTATATCAGCAGAGCACAGAGTGACCTCGCTCAGGCCTCTAATCCCTCTGTATGTTCAGGAAGCTGATGTCAGAGGCAAAACACTTGACCCGGACCCTCAGTGGCCTGCGCACAGATGAGAGCTGACGATGGTGGTGTGTGTGTGTGTGTGTGTGTGTGTGTGTGTGTGTGTG